TAAATAACCTCCATAAAGCAGCTTTCATCTTGAAGGATTCCACAATGCTCTACAAATTTAAGCTGATCTATAAACTCAGCCTAATTCACCCCGGTATGACTCCATTGAAGTCAATGGAATTAAATTAGGGAGGAGTTTGAACCACTTAAATGAAAGGCAGCAGCTGATTAACAGCAACAGTACACAGCAGTTTAAGACAGAAGGGGAAGACGATGGCTTCCAGCTGACACTACAGGGGGAACTGAGGTAGGCAGAATGAAATGACCAGAATTGGAATTTGGCTAGAGCACTAAGACTCAAGCTCAGTTTTTCCTGTGGTTTCTTAAGAGACCATCAAGTGAGTGAGACCTCGGGTTTATATTTCATGTACAAGGAACAACCTCCAACAAGACCTTGCCTTTTAGCACCGTTAATATTCTACTGACAGAGAAGGTACAGTAGATCACGACCTACTATATCATCAGAACTGTCTCTCTTCCTCTGTCTCCCATGCAAATACTGACCAAACCCAGCTGCTTAGCTTGTGAAGTCTGATTGCCTCAAAGCAAGGTGGCATGCATCTAGGCGATAGAAGCAACCTTTTCCCGCCTAAAATTTTGGTTTCCAAATTCCAAAATCTAGACCTATTTTATTAGTTCCTTTTATTGTACTATGCTTTTTATTTTTCCCAGTGGTTCCACAATTATATAAGAGACCAGCTATTTCTTTTCTATAATGCAGAAAGTAATTAGCTGGAAAGTAATTAAGTAGAAATTCTACAGTTCTTTTTATCCAGGTTTGATTTTCTGCCCAGGAGATAAATGACAAATAAGTTGCTATAATAAACAAACTTCACTACAGTGTTAATCTCAGAAGCTTAACATATTTTAAGAATTATGTCATGTCACTTTTTTTAGGATTGTGTAATGTCTTGTGCTACTATTAACAGACTTTTAGCAACGAGTAAAAAATGATTCTATTTTAATCGGCACCAGTATTCCAGAGTGCACTACCTCTGCTGAGAATTCATAGGGCCAAATGCTACCCTTGAAGCCAAAAGAAGGCTTGCCTGTGAATCAGAAGACAGGATTTGTCACACAGTGTTTTATTTGCCTTTAATCTGTTTATTCTTGGCATTCAAGTGTAAACATTTTTTTGGGGGGGGGGAAGGTTATTTAAATGCACACAATTACACTCAATCATATTGAAGAGTGGACACATTTCCTTATTTGTGGTCATAACTTCGATCTGTTTTTATGCAACAACATAAGTGGCCTGCTTTTTAAAGAAACGGAGTGAAAACTTGAGGCAGTCAGCACCTCCGAAAAACCAAGATACTTATTCAATATAGATTTAGGTGCCTATTTTGAGTCTGACAGGTTTTGGCATATTTAGCCCAAATCTCAAGCCCCTCTGTCCCCCCATCCCCCTTTAAATTACAATCCATTTTCTTTTTCATGGCTTAGATTAAGTCTACAGATCAAACCAAGTCAAATGGTTTTCTAGGCATTGTCACATATACCCATTGGGTCAGTTTTCATAAATGTTCATATGATTCGGGGAGATCGGGACACAGACAGACATACACACATTTTGACAGTAGGCTGCATTGGTTCAGTAGTCGTGACCAAAATACTGTTAGGTTTCAATGTCCAGCTTTAAACATTGCACTGATCCTAAAGATTAGTGGTAGCCCCTAGCTGTTACTATAATTGCTAGGCCAGCTAAATGCATTAGTACTTGGGCAGATGGACTGGACCAGTAGTAAGAATAGGCTTATATACACAAGCTTTTCACAGCAGCAGGTGCGATCTGGCAGCTCTTGGCCTATACTTCAACTTTAATTGAGGTATGAGTCTACATTATTGTAGTTGTATTCCTGTAGTTCACCTACCTTACTTTGTTTTAATGTAATTTTACATAAAAGGATGTTAAGTAGCAAATTCTAACAGTCAGAAGTTAGGAAATGCTATAATTAAGGTTGCCCTTGTAACTTTAATTCCGCTCCTTGTGTGTGCACATTATAGTATGTAGTCAGTGAGCATGTCTATACAAACAATTAGACCATGGCAAGCTGGGCTGTGGCTCTACCCCATACTAGCTTGCAGTACACTACCTGTCTTTATGTACCTTGCTGATGCGAGTCTCCGTCAAAGCCTATGCGCATCTGCAGGGTGCACACGGACATTTAGTCCGCTCTAGGCTAATGCGGGGCACTTTCACATCCCCACTTGCTACGGTCTAGCTCAGGGGTCGGCAACCTTTCAGGAGTGGTGTGCCAAGTCTTCATTTATTCTCTCTAATGTAAGGTTTCGCGTGCCAGTAATACATTTTAACGTTTTTAGAAGGTCTCTCGCTATAAGTCAATAATATATAACTAAACTATTGTTGTATGTAAAGTAAATAAGGTTTTTCAAATGTTTAAGAAGCTTCATTTAAAATTAAATTAAAATGCAGAGCCCCCCGGACCGATGTCCAGGACCTGGGCAGTGTGAGTGCCACTGAAAATCACCTCGTGTGCTGCCTTCGGCACACGTGCCATAGGTTGCCTGGTCTAGCTGTTTGTATAGAAAACCCCTTTAATTACATGATCATCAACACTTTTTTTCATAGGATCCATGCCTTATTCAGTGCCCAATGGACATTGATGGGGTCATTCAATGGGTAGCTGTTCAATACTTTTTTTTTTATCCTCTTCATTCAGTGTGTGGCTTTGTCCCTGTGTGGTGTTTATTGCACACCATCCAAACACTGCACTGAACCCAAAATTATCATCTTCCTGAGGTTTTTCTAGGGTGCTTTCATCCTAGTACCTTACGTCCAGACCCTCAAAGGGACTTCGGCATTATGATTCTGAGCATCGCAGCCCCTGACTTTTAGATCCCTAGAAAATCACAGAATATCACTGCAATCTGCAAAGCATGAATTAGGCACCTAGGCACCCTGTACAATGAATGGGGAGAGAGAGGCATCTCGCACTGCAATCTGCAAAGCCAGCATACTATGTAGGGAGCCAACTAAGCTAGCCAATGGGAGATGCTGACCGCAGGGGTGTGTGCAAACCGCAGTCCTGTCACAGAGAGAGGCTCTTAAATGTAGGCTGCGGTGTGGCATCGATCTCTGCTAGTGATCCAAGAACCAGGGAAGATAGGCATTCCTAAATTGCATGAGGGGCCAGGAACAAAACAGTTGGGGGAGGAGGCCTTTCTTGATAAGTTTTAGCCTAGTCAGTCGATAGTGTACTCACCCAAGATGTGGGAGATCCTGGATTCAAGTCCCCCCTCCTTCTGAGGGGGAGAAGGGATTTGAACAGGGATCAGCCACTTCTCAGGTGAGTGCCCTAACTCAGTGGTTCTCAACCAGGGGTACATGTATCCCTGGGGGTACTAAAAGGTATTCCAGGGGGTACTTCAACTCATCTAGATATTTGCCTAGTTTTACAACAGGCTACATAAAAGCACTAACAAAGTTAATGCAAACTAAAATTTCATAGACAATGATTTGTTTATGTTGCTCTGCATACTATGCACTGAAATGTAAGTACAATATTTATATTCCAATTGATTTATTTTATAATTCTATGGTAAAAATGAGAGCATAAGCAATTCTTCAGTAATCGTGTGCTGTGACACTTTTGTATTTTTGTCTGATTTTGTAAGTTTTTAAGTGAGGTGAAACTTGGGGGTACATGAGAATTCAGATTCTTGAAAGGGGTACAGTCATCTGGAAAGGTTGAGAGCCATTGCCCTATCTATTAGGTTATAGAGTTATTTAACTCTTCACTTGCCCATTTAATATTTAGTTATTCAGTTAGTTAACTAACAACTTCAATAGGAGAGACTGAGGGAGACCCATATAAGAGTATCCTAAAGTCCAGTGGCTAGAGCAATCGCCTCAGAGGTAACAGATCCCTGTTCAAATCACTTCTCTCCCTCAAGAAAAGTGGGGCTTGAACTGGGGGTTTCCTACATCCTGGGTGAGTCCCCCATCCATTAGCACAACCACAAAAGGCACATCTGACACCAAGTCAACACCCTGGACAAATTTCAAGTCCCTGCTCCAAAGCATGGAGGTTCTAAAGCTTTCCAGTGAAACAGTTTTACACATTCTTTGAACATGGGCAAACACGTTTTTTCCTACTCCCATTCTCAGAAATGACTGACCCTTTTAGTATGGGGAGGATGGGTGAAATCAACTTGAGGCAGATTCTTGGCATAGGATGTTTCAGCCCTGGCAGTTAATATTGCAAATTATAAGGAACTGGAAACGTGGTCTTTTAAAGAAAAGTGTTAGGCAGTCTATAGGTGTTTCTACCTGCACCATCTATAACAGTGCATGTGTATAAACCACTTGGGGAAATTCCTTACTGCCACTGATACCAATGCACAACATTGATGCTTTATATTAATCACTATTATAATAAAAGTACTGATGGCTTGTCTGATTTTTAGATTGACATTTTATACCCATGTCCGTGCTCATCGAGGACTCAATTCTGAAATCGTTACTCACAGGAATAAAGACTGCCAAATCCGACATTATTGATCACTTCTTGTATGGTGTGAAACTTAGATTTGAGTGAGTCTGATTCTGCATCATGAAGTTAATGCTGCATCATGAAATGTAAACTTTTACTACCAAGAATATTATTTACTTATGTGAATAGTCTTATCAAAGTCAACGAGAATGCTCACAATAATAAAAGCTGGGTGGTGTTTTGGGAATAGGGCTGTTAATTTATATATTAGGCAGCCAAAAGTGTTTTCTTCAACTACCTGGGTTTGTTTTGTTGTTTCAAATATTTAATATGGCATGCTATTACTGTTAAAAATATTTCAATGCTCCTGGTAGTTTTGAATCCTAAGACTATAGGTTTATAAAGCTGTGTTAAACTGTTTTTAATCCTGTATCTCTAGCCTTTTGTGAAGATGGAGACAGTGCCAGGTTTACGATATATGCACTTTATTTGGTATTGCAATACTGACATGATTTGATCATTGAATTGTTTCCCTCTTTTTCAGATTACTTATTTCAGTCTGTGGTATTACAATAAGCAGAACCAGCGCCGGTGGGTAGATTTGGACAAGCCTCTAAAAAAGCAACTGGACAAATATGCTTTGGAGCCGACGGTATATTTTGGAGTGGTGTTTTATGTGCCTACTGTTTCTCAGCTTCAGCAGGAGATTACCAGGTAAACTGCACATGTTTTTAAATTCAGCTTTTAACATTCTAACCTATGAATCTTCTTAAAATAGACATAATTGCCTGATTTCCAACCTTTTTAAAAATGGAAATGCAGACTTAAGGCAGAAACTGTGCCCAAACTGTGGCATTTATTATCCTTTTAATGTATTTAGACTATATAACAGGGATCGGCAACCTTTGGCACACGGCCCGTCAAGGAAATCTGCTGGCGGGCTGGGACTGTTTGTTTATCTGCAGCGACCACAGGTTCGGCCGATCGCGGCTCCCACTGGCCGCGGTTTGCTGTTCCAGGCCAATGGGGGCTGCGGGACGCGGCGTGGGCCGAGGGATGTGCCGGCTGCCGCTTCCCGCAGCCCCCATTGGCCTAGAATGGCAAACTGCAGCCGGTGGGAGCCGCGATCGGCCGAACCTGCAGACACGGCAGGTAAACGGGCCAGGCCGGCCCGCCAGCAGATTTCCCTGATGGGCCATGTGCCAAAGGTTGCCGATCCCTGCTATATAATAATGGAGTTACTCTTGGGATGAATTTTCCCAACGACCTTATGAGTCCATTGGAGCCTAGTAAAGTTACTCACAGACATGCTTGCACGATCAGCCTTTCAATTATTATAGGCTTTTCTTTCAGAGGAATACTTTGCTTCAGGAAACCAATCCAACACTTACTACCTGAAGAGCTGATAGAGGCAAGTTGTCCTGTTGTCAGCACACTCTGGTATTCATAAACCATATTTGCAAAGTCCCATCTAAGGCTGAGTGTGATTATAGACAATAAAGATGGAGATCAGATAGGAAATTGTGCATCCATTTCCACTGTTGCTTTGTGAATTCACTGATCACAGGCACAAGTGCCAGGAAGTGCTGTTCATTGTAAAGGAGAATCCAGTTCAGCATGTTCACTGATCAGCTCTTCATATGGTGAATATCAGCCCAGATGAGAGTGCTTGGGTGGCTAATAGGCTTGTGTTTTCAGGGAGCTGACAACCAGTTAAGCACAAGCAAGACTCCCTCACACACTGAAGGCAGAGGGGTAACAAGATGACTCTCAGTCCTGGTTACCCTGAGAACTGTCACAACGTTAACTACAGGCTGCTGTGCTTTAATGCAGTGGGGTGTCTCAGAATACATCCTGCAGCTCCACCATATTATACAGTGCAGTACAAGTCCTGTTGACTTTGGTTCTCATTTTCCATGGGAAAAGCTGTACGCTTGTTTTCTTTATAAAAGGTTAAAATGCATAGTGGGCTGTTTTTCAGTTGTTTTCCAGGTTTGTAAGGGCCTGATCCAACTCCAAGACATGGAGTATTTCCATCAACTTTAACAGGTATTGGATTAGGTCCTAAGCTTGGTATAGGATTCCACAGGTTGACGTATCAGGAATTGTTTCAGCAAGATCAAAATATTAAAAGCTTTCACTTCAATTAGGCAGTTTTCTAATTCAGTGGAATGAAACTGCCAGTATTTCTAATATAGACATTCTTAGCAGACACAGAAGCTGTAAACTTTCTAGTGCAATAGCTCAGTAATGTTGCAATATACTGCCATGCATGAGACCCGAGTTCAGGTGCAAACTCTGTGTTCCTATACTGTGGGCAGCTAGATATAAAGGACTAGATTGTTATCTAATTCACATCAGTTAAGATGGGAATTAACTTCAGAGAAGTTCTTGGAGTTACTTACTCCTGCTCTATACCAGAATCTGGTCCAAAGAGTGTTAAACAAGTGGTATATTTGCAGGGCTGGCTCACAACATTTTGGCACCTGAGGAGGGGAGCTCAAATGACGCCCCATACCTCCTCGCCTGGGCCAAAACTTTGAAAGGTCTCAATTCTGCCTTCTTCCTGTTCTACTCCTCTCATGGTACTGCTTTGCTACCTACCCCAATAAAGGAGAACTAACAACTTAAAATGCCTTGTTCAAAAATTTTAAGTAACACTTAACTTTCAAATGCCTGAACAGCAAATGTAACTTTTCTTGTCTGCATAATAAACACTGGCATTTTTATGTGTTTGAATAATCAAAGTGGTACTTTCCGTGCCTTCTTGGTTGCAAAGATTTGAACTGCTTCCTGCTGAAGGTCCACAGTTTGGGCCAGCTCATGCTCTATTGAGATGGTTGCAAGGCCGACCAGCCTCTCCTGTGTCATTGTGGAGCGTAGATGTGTTTTTTATTAACTTCAGCTTGGAGAAGCTGCGTTCTCCAGTGGCAACTGTTACACGAAGTGTTAGAAGTATGCACAGAGCAACAAAAGTATTTGGAAAGAGGGTGGTCATCTTATTTGTGTGTATATATATATATATATATATATATATATATATATTATA